CATGTTTAAAAGTACCCATTTGATGTCAGCAAAGATTATATTTGAATATTTTCTGCTTTGTAACCTTGCAGATTATCAAAATTCATCAACAATACAAAAAACATGAACTGATGAAGGTGAACTCTTATTAATACTATATTTGTTTCAATCATCCTTATTATCACAATTATTATCATTATCATCGCCATCACCATCTGTGCTAGGTTTGCCTTTGATTGTTCTATCAATTCAAACAAAGACACTATATCTAAGTAAGAAACGTATTATGCAAAACCAAGAAATATTTTAGGTTGTGCTAAAATTTTCTTTGTGTTGCAATTGAGGATTTGTATTTTATTCTGAATTGAATTATTTACTTACTATCATTCTAAATAAAAATAGAAAACCACCTTCTGCAGTTTGGCTCAGTGAATAGAATGTTGGCCTACCAGATTCCATTCTGGTAAAGGGCATTTTCTGGATTGCAGGTTTCTCCCTAGCCCAGGTCCTGGTTACGACTACTGCAGGAGACAACCAATCGATGTGTTTCTATCACGTCGATGTTTCTTTCTGTCTTTCCCTTTCTCTTCCACTCTCCTTAAAAATCAATGGAAAAAAATAATCTCAGGTGAAGATTAATAAGAAAATAAAAAATTTAAAATTTTTAACAAAGTAGTACATACTTCCTTACTCATTAATAAAGCTACAACAACAACAAAACGGAGACCTGATGAAGTATCAGTGAGTCAGTGGTTTGGATCATGCTGCTTTTAAATTTTCCACAGAAAGTCAGGCAGGTTAAACTGTTTTGAGATAAAGAAAACATCTTCCTCAGGCACTGTTATGTGGCCCCTTCTTCCATATTGTTCTCAGCCCTTATGTCTGTTTAGACTCTGGAATACCTATTATGAGATTGGGATGTGATTGAATAGACAAAGTTTTGTGGTTCTGGATCAATAGTTCCTAAAGGTGGTGAGTTGGCCCCAGCTGACATTTAGTAATGACTGGAAACATATTTTGTTGTCACAACTCGGTTGTTTAGAACAGATGCTGTGGCATCTTGTGTTTAGAGGACAGGGCTGCCTGTTGAACATCCTACAATGTCCAAGGCAGCCCCACACCAAAAAAAATTTTGCAGCCCAAAATGTCAAGTGTGCTGGGGCTGAGAAATGTTTTGTGGAGCGATGAAGAGAATGGACTTTTGCATGCAACAAGGATAACTGTCACAAACAAAACATTGAGCAAAGAACTCAGAAAAGAGTACATGAAGTTGTTATATGAAGTTAAGACAGACTAAACTTTGCTTGGTGATAGAAGGCAGAGTAGTAGTTAATCATGGGTAACTAAAAGGAGAAATATTACTGGGATCCAAGTAATGCTTTATATTTTAATGTGGTTGGGAGTTTCAAGGTTGCATTTATTTGTAAATAATAGGTACCTGTATACTGAAATCTCCAGTAGATTTTGAACTTCATATGAAACTTTGGCTCTTCCTAGCCTTCAGACTAAAAATGGAACATCAGCTCTCCTGGGCCTGCTTGCCCACCTTGCAGGTTTGGGACTTGAAAACCTCTGCAATTTTTAGAGCCAGTTCCTTTCAATAAATTTCTTTCTACATATATACACATCGTATTAGTTCTGGGTTTATTGTATTATTTTGTTTGTTTGTTTGTTTGTAGAATACTAACTGCAACATATGGTCAAATTTTGGAATTAACAATAAACATTTCACCTTAAGAAACTTGCCATTACAAATTTAATTCTTTGCCCATCAGTTTCTTTTTTGTATTGCTAGCCCTTCTTCTACAACCCTACATGAATGCTCTTGAACCTCAATGAAGTATAAATCCATTGTCCTCAATACTTTTCAAATCACCCATCTTCCTAGATTCCTTTGTTCTGAACTACATCCTCTCCTACAAACACATGTAATGCAATTTTAAGCTCCCTTCTAAATTGGCCATGCCAGCATGGCCAAGAGTGGACTTGAGGAGGGGCATAAAGTATTAAAGATGACAGACAAGAGAATACAGTTAGGGCTTGGTGGATCTCCCATGCCTGAATGAGGACACAGAAAAGATCCAGCCTTCAAGATGAGGCTTTATTTTATAGTCAAAGCAAAACAAGGAAGTTGTCAACATGGTTACAATGTTCTTGTGAGTTTCACCTTGTTTTGGCAGCACTTCTTACACCTCCTACAGCCCATTAGCTACCTAGGAAGGAACTAGGGAAGGCTATAAGGTTAAACTTAATTATGCAAAGAGGGCTCTGCCCTCCAAGATGGGATTTGTGTGTAGCCCTGCCACAGGTCAGTCAGAGGCTTGACCCTATAGCCACTCGCTACACTAAATAGTCACCTTGTCCAAAGTCTTGACTCTTCCTAGGGTGTTCATCATTCCAATACCGATCTCTTAAAAGTGGGGTAAAGAGAAGCACTACTGAAGACCGGAGTTCTCTGTTGAAATGGGTGAAGCAATTTTTAAGACTCTAGATAAACTTCCCTTCCTTCCCAGTCCCATTTCCTTCCACATCTTTTCATAACATAAGTGCTCTTTCCAGTAGTGTTCCCTAGTAAAAATTTTACATACCAATTTCAGTCGCAGAATTTGCTTTCTAGGGAATTCATCCAGCAGTAGACTATACCCACAGAGGTCTGAAAAATAAGTTTCTGAAAAGGAATTCAACATCTAAGTAATAAGCTGCCAAGATGACAGGGACCCCACCAGTGGTGGTAAGTGTGTCATACATAGACCTTGGCACGTGGTAGGTCTGCAAATACGAATCTTTACACTGGTGCTGTTCGCTGTTAGTGCCTCTGTTTGATCATCTTACAAGGCCTTGCATCCATCCTGCTGTTGCTGTGGGTGTTCGTTGCTAAAGCTCACAGCTGCTCTTTCCTTTGCAGAATTTCCCTTAGCAGCATGGTAGCTGCTCTGCTCAAGATGGATGGCCCACACACAATGCCTAATGTGGTACAAATGTCTAGCACTTTGCTTCAAGGAGGGACAAACTCTCATGCTGGTTGTGCTACAGAGATCCCAGTGGATCAGCTTGAAGCCATTTTTTCCCTGCTACCATAGCCTCGTTTCATTTCTATTTTCTTGCCCTCTCCCGCTTCCCTTCTATTGAAAGCACGCCCTCAATACATCACATGAACACAACCCATCACCAAGGCTCTGCTTCTAGAGAATCTGACATAAGACAACTAATCCTGCTTTGTGATTTGGTACAGGTAAAATTCATGTGATGTTTCTTATTGTGCCTTACAATAAAGCATATTCTACTATTGTTGGGTGTAGGGTACTACATTCATACATTAGGCTAAAGTGATCATCATGGCTTCAAAATATTTTCTAACTTTATTTGAAATTTTACCTCTTTTTTTATTACTTACTTAGATATATGAAAATCATTTCTAAGTCTCCTAGTATAGAAATAGAAAACTTTCTCTGTTCTTTAACTGATTACATGATAAATGGCAATATTTAGACTTAAATCATGAAACCCAAAATTACTTGCCTTAATCTCCTGAAAATAATACAGGAACCTTATAATACTCGATCTATGTCTAGACTCTTTGTGAATTATTTTATGTTGATTTTATCTGCTCTTTTCTAATTCCAGAGTATATTACTATGATTTTTTATACAGTCAATATTTATCGTCTCACATATCTATTACATTTTTGGATCTCATTCCCTTTCATAGTGCAGACATTATGTTTAGGCTATCTTTGTTTTTGACTAAAGTAAAATACTTAGAATATTTTCAGACTTTTTCAAGAAAAACTCTCTACCAAACATAAATTTTGTACCTATTTTTGAAAGTTATTTTTTCTCACATTCATTTAGGTTGACAATTATATTTCACTAAGTTACACACTCTCTCTCTCTCTTGCACTATTGTTTGACTACCCTTATTATAAAAATCATGAGAGCTCCCAACTCATTTCACCATGTGAAGACACAAAAAGAGGGCAGCCCTCTGCAAATCAAGGAGAGAATTCTGACCAAGAACCCCCAATGCTGGCACGCTGATCTCAAACTAACAGCCTCCAGAACTAGAAGAAATAAATATTTGCTTTCTAAGACACACAAAATTGGTACCTTTTTATAGCAGCCTGAGTAAGGCAAACCATGATACTGATGGCATTTAAGTGCCAAAACCTGGCCTCCATGTGACAAGGTTTACCATCCCCAACTCCACCGGGCCATCCAGTTGTGCAGTGGTACATGTCTCTTTACCCTTCCTTATAGCATAGAGGCCACCACTGCACTTTTAAGGATATAAAATCTCTCTCACCAATGCATGATCTTATGTTTGGTAATTTGCTTCTAACAGCTTAGAAGTAGAATGCAGGATAGGAATTAGAAGTTACTCTAGCTGAGATTTCCAAGTGAGACAGGAAAGTGTATGTCTTAGTTTTGAGGCAAATCCAATGGATTGAGAACCAGTCTTATAAGGAAATCAGATGAGGATGCAAATGTTATACTTTGTATACTTTGATTTATGCTGAAACCTCTAATTTTGCAGGCTTGTGTCATTTCTAGAAGCGGTGAGAACTTTCATGATCTAATAGCCAGTTTTTACATTTTCTTGTTATTGTCATTATCAGTGTTACACTTTACATTTTCTTTGTTATTTATTTATTAATGATTAGTGGCCTGGTGCACGAAATTTGTGCATTGGGAGAGGAAGGGAGTTGTCCCTCAGCCCAGCCTGCTGCACCCTTTCCAATCTGGGACCCCTCAAGGGATGTCCGGCTGCAGGTTTAAACTTCTCTTTCACAATCCAGGAAAGCTGGCTCCCAGTCAATTGCCTGCCTGCCTGATTGTCCCTAACCACTTCTGCCTATCAGCCTGATCACCCTCTAACCACTCCCCTTCCAGAATGATCAATGCCTAACTGCTCCCCAGCTAGCCTGGTCACCCCCAACTGCCTTACCCTGCAGGCCTTGTTGCCCCCTACTGCCCTCCCCAGCTAGCCTGGTTGCCCCCAACTGCCCTCCCCTGCTGGCCTGATTGCCGACAACTGCCTTTCCCTGCCGGCAATCTTATGGTGGCCATCTTGTAACCACATGGGGGTGGCCATCTTTGACCAAATGGAAGTGACCATCTTTGTGCGATGGCATAATGGTCAATTTCCATATTACCTCTTTATTCTATAGGATTTTTTTACAAGATTCAGAAGAAAGAGTATATAATGAAAAGCAAGTTACATGCTTACCCTGATCCCACACACTTCTCCCAAGTAGGAACTGATATTACTTCTTTGAGGGCTCCCATAGGTATTCAGTGTGTACACATACCTATGATTGCACACAGCAATTACTTTTTTTCCAAAAAACACATTATACACTTCTTGTGTTCCTCCTTTTTTCACTTTACAATGTATTTTCAACATTGTTATATATTTATAAAAATAGAGCTGAATTCTCTCTTTACTGGTTGCATAATATTCCAGCATGTGCACATGTTAAATTATATTACCAATTTATATCGATGAATATTTTAGTAGTTTCTAATCTTTTGTCATTAACAGCAATAAGTCAATGAATTGTTTGTAAGTATATTTATTTAAACGTGCAAATTTCATAAAGTAAACATGCTATATCAAAGCATAAGAGCATTAATTCTATCTAATGAGGGATAGGCATTGATATTCTTTAGTAAGCACCTTTTTTTGTTTCAATGGGTGAAAAAACTTGAAAAGAATACACACTAAAAACAAGCCATAGCATATATCCACATTCTATAATTTTTTTCGAAGGAAAATTATTTCTTTTTTAACGAGCCTATGCCTCTCACAATATTACCAATAAGTTTGCCAGGAGCACACAATATTGAAGTGAGCTCAGTGCCAATTCTATCTATGGTTTTTGCAATCCACGGAGTACTATCATTTTGAGTAGTATCAATCGTATTTCTCAAATGATTGATCTCTGCATTCATCTCTTCAGATTTCTTTTTAAATCCATCTCTTAGCAGATCTTCTTGAATCTTAAAAAGAAATGAGAATGGAAATAAAACATTTTAAACTCCCATGTTTTTCAAGAATTTCACTTTCTAGTTAAGAACTCTTTCTTTTCACTCTTAAAATTGTTCTCTCTTACACAATCAAGGATAATTTTGCAACAAAAAAAAATCCTGTCTTGGACCTAAACACTGAAAGAAAGCATAGTTTACAGTCTTACAAATATTCGTATATCCATAGGGTTTTGCTAGGATGCTAAGCCTGGCCTAGGACAAATGTAATGTGTGCCAGTCACAATATCAGTTGAGAAGTAACCTTGGTCTGCTGGCACCAATTCTCAGTCCCACTTGGACTAATGTGGCCAACCAAATGTAGAAATAATGGGAAATTATACATTGCGCTGGAACCTTATTATAAACACGTACAGATAGCCAATCAGGAATGCTTCCTCTGCCATATGATAACTTGAGTACACTCTCCATACCTGGCAACAGTGCAGCAAATTTAAAACTATCATATCCCTGTATTTTTAAACTGGAATTTCTGATAATTTATTGTCAGCAGAGATCTACCTTAGAGTCTTTGGATGGTAGCAGGGTTCCTGATAATAGGCAATGATCTTGGTAAAGAAAACCACGTGGTGGTCATATTAAATACATGTGTTTCAAATAACTGTTTATTCAGGCAAAATAAGTCATTTTAAAATAACCCAAAATCACACCTCAGAACCTATATATATTGTCTAAATATTCAGAAGTGGGATGCTTGTCCTGACCACTCCAAAGTGTATACACAGAGTAGATTTCAAAGATACTTTTTTACAAAGAAAGGGAACATGGGGAAGATTCAAGGTTTTAGCAAATCACAAGTAGTAAATGGCAATGGTGTTTCCTCCATGGTCTTGCTGTAACATTCTCCATCCCACCTGAGGTACCAGGACAATGAACATGGAGCACGACTGAGGCCATGGCAAGACTTACCTTCAATTTATGCTCCAATATCATATTCTGCTCTCTTACTATAGTCTCTCTGTCCCTCTCCATCTTCTCCTTCAGTTGCAATATATTTTCCTCGAGACTCCTCTTCTGTGCGTCCATCTGCTGCCGCTGCTCCTGTAGTTTCTGTCTCATCAGCTCCTGTTCCTTCTCAGCTGCCTCCTTCTTGGCCCGCTCCGCTGCCCCAGGGAGGTTTGACAGAGGGAAGAAAATTAGGTGAGGACTAATCTCTACCTTCCTGAGTTCTAATAAAACAAACTGGAAGGGGAGGTGAGAAGACCCTGAACTGCTCCCTTGCCACACCATCAAGAGCTCATAGCAGAGTGTGATGGGAAAGGCCCTGGCTGGCTGGTGTGCCCTGGTGTTTTCAGAGTTAGAGAGTAGGTCCCACAGAAGGAGAGAAAGCTCCTTGTGTCAGGAGGTTTTGTTCTCACAGCTGTCAAAGGACAGTGCAGGTACCTGCCACCCATTGTGAGCCCAGCCCTGCCCCTTACCTGCCATGGCCTTCTCTCCATCCGTGAGAGCTTTGTCTGCCTGCAGGATGGAATTCTCTATTGCTGCCTGCGACTGCAGGAACCTCTGGAGAACCTCTTAGGCCTGAGGAGACAAGAGGAACAAAGAACTTCAATTTCCACTGGGAAGAATAGGCTTCAAATAACAATGTCCATGTTATTTTTCCTTCCTGACTAAAACCGCATCATGTCTCCACACAGTTTCCAGTCTCATTAGAGAGCCCAGAAGCTCTTCATACCCCTGAAGTCTCTCCCCTAGTGCTCCATTCTTCTGTTCACTCTACATTCCAGCCAGAGAGAACCATGTTCAGTTCTACACAACCACTGTCTCTGGTGCTTTTGTACAGTTGCCTCCCAGGGAGAAATGTTATCTCCAATTAGTGTTGCTGTTTTCCTCTGCCATTTGCTGGTTGTTCCTTTAAGCAAGTCATTTTAACCCATCTCGGCCTCTAAGTTCAGATGTGTGAAATGTTCACAAAATGTATAGATGCCTCTTAATGCTACTTGAAGGATAAAATTAAAATTCTCGGGAAAGAACTGAATATTATGTCTTAACAATAAAAGTTCAATAAATACTAATTGCATTATTATCATTATTATTTTGATATTATTACTTGTTACTATCACCTATGTAACCAACTATCTCAAGTTCATAAGTATTTTAACGCTATATGCAATTGTGTACGTGTTTGAGTTCCTTTTCTCTGTTGATCAGCCTTGAATACAAAAACTCTGACTTTAACTTGTAAATTGTTTGTCTTTAACACACTGGATGCCACTTTGTTGGATAGAAAAAATGATTATTTCTCTTCTGTCTTTCTTGGATTTCAGAAATCCATATTCATTTCTGAGAATGGTTATTATGACTCTTTTCAGGAAAAAAGATGAAATAACCTTAAATACTAAAACAGTCCCGATACTACCCACAACTGGTGCTGTGCTCTCTGATTTCCAGGAGACTCTCTTGACTTTAATCGATAGGATCCCTACGCTCCCCTTATTCCTCACCTTCACTCCTTTCCTGGGCACTTGCCAGTAGTCCTGTTCAATCCTTTCCTTTGTTTCCATGTAGAGCTTGTGACCACCAGGAATAGAAAAAACGCCTGCTGAAATACCTTCCATTAGGGACATGGAAAGCTGCTCAAGTTTTTCCTGGCAGAATTTAACAGATGCCTCTTCATTCTTTAGCAAGAACTCATCCTTCTTATCCTTTATGATTTCCTGCAAGGAAAGTATAGAGGGCTGTCACCAGGAGAAAGGAACAGGGGAGAAAAGGTTTCAAAGAACCTGGTGGAAGGAAGTCTAGCTGTGGTCCTCATGAGAAAGGCTTTCTGTTGGAGAAGGGCATGGAATAAAAAGGAATTACAAGGCTTCCAACTCACAACCCTGAAAATTACATGTGAGGTAGGGGAAAGCTTCTAACCACCTTCGGTCTCAGGTTCTTCATCAAAAATGTTGGTGTTGAATTACCTTATATCTATGGCTCCTTGCAATTGTAAATTTTGTTAATTCAATCTTCAATGATATAATGATACAACAAGGAGCCACAGGAATTGAAAACAGCCTGATATGAGGGTCTGTTAAGAGACATTTGATTCCTGAGAATGGGAGAGTGAGCTCAAGAAAGTGACTAGCCAAGGAATGACTTTTTAGGTCTTCTGGGCAGATTTTAATTCAATATAAGTATTGAATTAAAATAAGTATTCTGTTCAGAAAGATGTCTATGGTAACTATGCATCAGAGATCGGAGAAACTTTTGGATAAAGTACTGAAGTTTGGTAATGAGGGTGCGACAAAAATGCAATGTTTTTAAACTGTATCCCTCTAAATGCAGACTACTAAATCCATGAGTAAGAGAGGAGGACTGGGGTCAGAAATGCTCTTCTAGGCTTCATTTTGCAAGGGAAGATTCACAAAGGGTAAATAAATACTAAGATAAAGTACCACAAGATTCTTCAGGAACGCCTGGTTGTCATCCTTGAAGGAGCGCTCCATGAAGATTGCAATGGCTTCCTTCTCACAGGCTGCATGCAGGTCCAGCAGCTCCTGCAGCGTGTCTGTGGGTAAGCTCACTCTCTGGGCCATCTGCTCGCTGTAGTGGTCGGCTGCCTTTTGAACAGCCCCTGAGTTCTCAAGCTGGGCCAGAGTTGTAACTGCATTCTCCAAACAAGGCACTGCACCACTGTTGATGGCATCCACATAAGTCACCACCAGAGTCCTTAGCCCTAATAAGCCAGGAAATTTAAGGGATAAATATCAATTTATCACTCAACAGCATCTATGGTTCACACTCTACATTTCTAAATCTCTCAGTCTTTTTGTCTCTCACTTACAAAAACTCATACACACACACACACACACACACACACACACACACACACACACACACACTACATCCTTCTACTATTGTTGGACTATGCAGTTAGCTAGATATTAACAGGAGACCAGGGAGCAAATTGAATCAGACATCTGATAAAGCCTGATTAAATAGGAAAAAAACAGCCTTAGAGTCATGCTGGGGAGTCCATTCAACTACCCAGAATGGGAGAAAAATGGTGCAGAGGGAGTTTCTTTTCTAAGTACCTGCACTATAGGAACCAAATGACTAAGCAGAACTATGAAGTATGTGCAATTGGAGCCAAAATTCAGACCATAAATTGGGGAGAGAAAAACTGGGAAAATCTGCAGGAAAGATTGCATAGGGAAAAGGCACAAGCCCAGAAGAAGACAGGAAAGGGATTGGATAGTTTTTAAGAAAGCCTGCTCTTTCTCAAACCCAAATATATATGGGAAAGCTTAACAAATACCTCAGGACAGTAGCTGGCCCCTAGTCAGCCAGCTCTCTATCTCCCTAAGAGTGTACTTTGCTTTACTCTTTAATAAGCCTTGCCATTATTGCGTAAAACTCCTCCTACATGAGAGTCCCTAAAATTCCTTTCACACAACACCACAGAAGAACATATTTCCTCCAGTAACGCTATTGTCCCATTGACTCTAATTTGTGTGTTTCTTTAGACCACAAGGCTAACATAATTCAATGCATTCCTTTATCTAACATACTAAAGGATATCTGGAAACATAATTTCCTATTAAAAATCTTAGAAGCAAATTATTTACATAGGTAGACAGATGAGGTAAGGTAAATGTGATTCTATTTTTTTTCCTAATTATGCAGAATCCAGTAAATTTTCAGAGCTTTATTGGCTAATAGTCATTAGTAAATTGCTCTAAACTCCCAAAATATCTTTTGTATTCTCCTTGCAAATCACATTCATAATAAAGAACTTCAATTGAGGAAACAGTGTATTCTGTTTTTATCCCCAGTTAGTGATTCATTATTAGTAGGAGACTTTTTATATGTATGGATGCTGCAGATTTAGCTGTCAATGGTTGTAATTTTAGAGAGGAATTTATAATAACCCAAAAGTGTGATAAGTATACATGTGTCTTCATGGAGTATGAATACCTATAGACCCATAATTCTATGTAAAATCAAACACAAATCCTGGAGAGCACATCCTATAATATATTCAACAAATATTAGGCCCCACAAAATGTGAAATGGAGACTCACGTTTCCCAGTGACCCTGATTCCCTCCCTGAGGGTCTTGATTCTCGCCTCAGTGAGGATGAAAGAACAGAAGTTCTTTGTTTGTTCCTGAAATTTAGGATCCAGTTGGTATTCGGAAACCTGCTCAATATGGGCTAGAAGTTCTTTGTCATTTGTTGGCCTGTCAAAGACAAAACACTTCCTTCTTGGAAAGAAATGGCGGATGCACTCTCTAGGGAGATTAGATATTTGAGCTTTGGGATTCCGGCCTGAAAGATTAAAACAAACAAGAACAGGTATTATAGTAGGAGCAGTCTGAGGACAAGGGACCTAAAGATTTTTATGACAGGGATTTTTGTATTTTTTCCCTATTCTATCTGCATAACTTGTGTTTATAACTCCTTTAGCATAGATATCCATCCAAATGTTCCTTTAACATCAAATTTACCAATGATGCAACTTTGGGGGAAAATTTTCGAAGAGATTAAATATGGTTTAAAAACAACTACAACAACCTATTGCTGTTATCAGATCTAAAAATGGTAGAGTATTGTCTATATTGTCAATATTAGCTACTGAATGAATAACAGAAACATGGGTCAAATGTAAGTTTTTGGTCACCTTGATCCCATGGGGAAATGAAGCTGTGGATCAAAATGAAGAGCCCAAGCAAGACTTAATGAAGCAATGTTGGAAATAACACCAGATTATCTAAGGAAAACTGTTTAGATGCTAAAAATAATGTGTACAGCATTAGCTTTTAAAAAAATAAAAACCTTTGAAAACTGAAGAGTAAATGAAACTAAAACATAATTTTAAGATATCACCATTAGTCTCTAAATTTTTAAGGTAAAGAACTATATTTCATTTGATAGCTTTGCTTTTCTATGTAGCCCAATTCTCATTGTTTTGAGAAATAGTAAATACAAACATAAAATCAAGAGTGTATACATCAGAAGTGGTATTCCTTTCACAGGTTCATCAGATACCTTCATGCCCATGTAAATGTAACCCATTCAAATATTTTTATTATTTTAGTAAGGATAAATATGTGGGAATTGGGGGGGGGGAAAACTATGATACAGATAGAATTAACATCATTAAAATAATGCCCAAAGGAATCTATGGAGTCAACACAATCCCTGTCAAAATACCAAAGGTGTTTTCACAACACCACAAAATATAATCCAAAAACTTATATGAAAGCATAAAATATCCCAAAAACACAGAAATACTGAGAAGGAAGAACAAAGTTGGAGGTATTATGCTACCTGATACCAAACTATAATACAATGCTGTGTTAATCTAAGCAGCATGGTGCTGGAATAAAAACAGACATATAGATCAATTGAACACAACAGAGTGCCCAGAAATAAACCCATGCAAATATGGTCAATTAATAGATGACAAAGGAGGCAAAACAACATACAATGGGGTAAAGGCAGCCTAGTGGTGCATGGTGTTGGGAAATTAGACAAATATGTGCAAAAGAAGTGAATCTACACCACCTTCTTACACCATATACAAGAATAAGCTCAAAACAGATTAAAGACTTAAATTTAAGACTCAAAACCATAAAACTACTAGAATAAAACATACAGAGTAAAATCTCAAACATGAAGGTCAATACACGTATGAAAAGATGTTCAACATCACTAATCATCAGAGAAATGCAAGTTAAAACCACAATGAGATATCACCTCATGCCTGTCCGAATGGCTCTCATTAATAAATCAATAAGCAATAAGAGTTGGTGAGGGTGTGGAAAAAAGGGAACCATTGTGCACTGTTTGTGGGAATGCAGATTTGTGTGGCTACTATGGGAAAGAGTATGGAAGCTTCTCAAAAAAATTGAAAATAGAACTGCTTTATGACCCAGTGACTTCACTTCAGGGTATGTATCCAAAGAAATCCAAAACACTAATTCAAAAGACTATATGACTTCTATATTCAATGCAGCATTATTTATGATATCCAAGATATGGAAGTAACCCAAGTGCTCAACAACAGACAAGTAGATAAGCAAGAAGTGGTACATATACACAATGGAATACTACTTGGTCATAAAAAAAGAATGAAATCATACTATTTGAGACAACATGGATGAATCTAGAGAATGCTATTCTCAGTGAAATAAGTTAGACAGAGAAAGACAAATATCATTTGATTTAACTTATATGTGGATTCTAAAGAACAAAATTGAAACAGAGTAACAGATACAGAGAAAAAAACTATGGCTGTTGGGGGGGGGGGGCGGGGGGGCATGTGTTGGAGCTCTGGGTGAAAAAGTTGAAGTACAAATACAAGTTGGTAGTTACAAAATAGTCAGGGGAATGTAAAATACAGCATAGGGAATATATTTAATAATATTGTAATAATTATGCCAGGTGGGTACTTGAAATATAGGGGCGATCACTTTGTAAAGTATGTGATATCTAATCACTACAATATACATCAGAAAATAATACAAAATTATATTGAGTGTAAATTTTACTACAATAATAAAATTTTTTAAAAAATAAAAAACTCAAGGGCGGGGAAAAAAAGGAGACATATGTAATACTCTTTGTAATACTTTAAGCAATAAAAAAAAAGAAGTAAACAGAAAAAAAATAAAATAAAATAAAATAAAATAAAAATCCATAATATGTAAATTAAAATTATATTAGGATAATTATAAAAAATATTCCAAAATGTTAGATTGAAAAGATAAAACATTCTTCTTTCAGTTTATTAGAACATAAAGTCATATTTACAGATAACATATGTATAAAGACATTAGAAAGTTATATGTCCCTTTCAGAAGAATCATGTCTAATTACATGAAAAATATTTTTTCATTAGATAGGCTTTTCATTGTAATTATATGCCAAACAAGTATTTGATCAGTTGGTTTCCTCAACACAGAAAAGCAGAAGCTAAAATAATAAACATAAATATCTGCTCTTTAGAAGGCTTTAGAAACTCTGTATTCAAAGTTACAGTTGGATTCTCAGTTACAATGTGTAAAGAACAAATGGGTTATGAATAGTTTTACTCTACTTTAGGCTCTACTTTTCTTAAGTGAACTTAAACTCTAGTCCATAGAGCTTTACAACCCATTCCCAGACACCATTTCTGCAGACTTCTAGTCTCAAGTACAAATGCAACTCCAGATGTAATGTTTAGTACCTCCCATCTGTATTGGACCATGCACTGCCCAGCCATGCTCTGTTACCTGGAACCAGCTTCAAGGCATTCTCCAAGTACTCATCTGCTGTGATAGGATGACCATTTAACTCCAGCTCCAGGATGAAATCCCGTACGGTCCAGATAAAGTCTGGAAAAAAACTCACAAACTCTGATGAATCTTCTACTCCATCTGGTGTAGGGGAGGACTTTGCCCTGATGAGTTCTGTCAGCTCTGTCACATAACTAGGACCTGGCTAAGGAAAATTAACTTTCTACCCACAATTCCCACATTTCTCTAATTAAAAGAAAGAAAAAATAGTATTATAAACACTCTCACTCTGGTTCCTTTTGGTCTACCAAGGGCAACTAAGTGAGAGGGAAGGAGAAACTGACTGGATCTCCATTGCCATTGAAGCCATGACACATGGAGGCTGGGTTCCTGGGAGGATACTGCAGCTGCTCCAGGGCCTGGTGGTTGATGGTGCTCAGGCTGTTGTAGACGAAGCTGCTACACAGAAGCACGGCCAAGGCAAAGATCCATGAGTCATTCTTAGGGTCACCCTAGAAGTACATTAAGGCAAGACATTCAGGATTTACCTATAGAAATTCATTCAGACACTAAGTCTAACAGTCCTCCCTTTTATTTCAGGTAATGTACTCAGCATGCAAATAAGTAAGTTTGAAGATCAGCATATACTATATAATAAAGAGGTAATATGCAAATCGACCCTCACACCATAACACCATCACAAGATGGTGACGCACATAGTGGAGGTGGGGCATGGGGACTGGGCTGGTGGCCGCTCTGCATGGCTTCCACCAGGGTTCCTGTGGCCCCATGGGGCTGCAGCGGTCCCGGCGTCCACTTCGTGTGGCTTCTGCCGCTGTTTCCAAGGCCCACCACATGTGCCATGGGGGTGGGGTCCAGCGGATGCTGAGCGGGACTTGGAGGCAAGGCATCAGGGTGGCACTCCAGGACTTGGGGTCATCCCACAGAGCGCCAGCCACACAGGGAGGGACTCTGGGACTCGGGGTAGTCCCATGGCATGGGAGAGCGGGGGAGGAGAGAGGAGAGGGTCCCAGTTCTTGGGCAATTTCACACAACGGGTTACTAGTATACACATATGAGCTTTAGCAATTACAATAACATTACTTCTGACTGTGATTCTTTCATATATAAAAAGATTCTGTCATCACACAGTTTTCTTTTTAGTGAATCAGATGAAATAAAATAACATAAAATAACAGTGCAGCACCTGGTGTGCTATTAGGTTCAATGAATGGTATTAGCACATATTTATTCTACATATATTTGTTGGTCATGGACTATATAAAATATTCCATAGTTAACATAACTGGGGATATATCCAAGAAGTGTTTATGGGAAACTACTGAATATTTCCACTGTTGTTAAAATTAAAAAGCAGTTTAAAATGACAAATATTACTTTCAAGGTGACTATTTCAAAACCATGACAAACATCTGTAGCAATGAATATAACAAGAATAATATCTACATGAGGCTTACATCTTAATAACATGTATAATCATTAGAACCTGTAGCTATAATAGTAAATTAAGGGGGGGAGGAAAGAGATCAATCAAAGAACTTGTATACCTGAATGCACAATCTATCGACACTGACAATAGCATGGTGAAGTTCTGCGGAGGTGATGGAAATGGGAAGAAAGCATCAATGGGAGAGGGGAAGGGAGAGATCTGCAATACTTTCAATATTAAAGATAAATTTTAAAAAATAGTAAATTAAAATTTACAAGTCCATCATGGAAGACCAGAGCTCTGGAAGATGGAAAGTTTTACATAACATGAAGTCTTCCTCAGCATCTTGACTGAAAATTAAAGACTTCGTAGAGTGTGAATTTGAATAAATGAAGATATCCTACAGGTGGAAAGACCCACAGAAGCAAAAGTAGACATGGCAGCATACAGAGGTCTCTTCTCATAAAAGGAGAGTTGTTTGATCTGACTAGAACAGAGGGTAGGTCAAGAAGTTAAAGTTGGGCTGGGTCGAGACCTGAGTCAACATTGAGGTGTCCTCATGATTCAGCCCAACTCTCCCCCCTCTCACAGCATCATGGTGGCCTACTGACGACAGGCTGGACTCAGCTACATCCACGACTCCCACATCAGCGCAAAAACAGTGAGGAATGCACTGAAAATTGAATTCAAAGCAAGCGCCGAGAAGACCTTCAGCAGCAGCATCAAAATTGTGAAAGTGAAGAAGGAATAATGTACCCTGACTAAAGCTTGAAATGCTACATTTTCAAAGTGAAGATGTGTGGGCACAGGTTATGGCAGATTGAAAACCATCTCACTTCATGGGGAAAATAACACCTGTCTTGTTGATAGATTGGCAATGCCAATAAACTGAAGCATGCTTCCCTCAGAAAAAAAGAAGTTAAAGCTAAACCGTGAGCTGTGCAACCAGATGAGGGACCTTAAAGGAGGAGTTAATTTGTTTGTATAAAACACAGCAGGTCTAAATAATGGCACAATACAGACTTTTCTTTCTATTATAAACACTATCTAAAGTTGATCCTTAGAGTAAAAGTGGAATATACCTGGAAATATACCTCGAAATTCTTGGAGGATTTATCTTCCAAAGCTCAATTTTAAAAAAAAAAAATGATTATACTAAGAAGTGGTACTTATGACAAACAAAAGGTTATTTAGACAGCAAGACTGTTTGATACACAAAATAAACACAAAATTTCTAAATCTTCTTTGGGTAGAAATAGAAAGTTGTAGAAATTTAGGTACTATTTCCAAATAAGTCTCAAACAAAAGCAGAAAAGGAGAAATCATTCATTTTACCCTTCTGTAAAAAACTAAAATATCAAAAACTCATTTTAAATTTTGTTGAAAGATAAACCTATGCTTTTATAGAACCATCCCATTCAGAGGTGTCTTGAAGTCTTCCAGAATTCTTGGTGAGTACTTGGTGAACTTCACCAGAAAACTGCAGACTCATTGAGAGCAGGGATTTTACATGGGTCACTAGTATCTACAGTACTAACTTAGAGACCGGGGAATATGGTGCTCAGCAATTGTTTATTAAATTGAATCAAATTATCCATGAGTGCCGAGAAATAGAAAAAAATTTACACAATGTACCATGACACCTCACCTATAAATAAGAGTCAAACAAGTGAGCATTTGCCTGATATATAGTTGGATTTCTAGATTTCACAAAAAGATCAAGCAGTTAAGTTAAAGAGTTTGTTATGAGACTATCCAGATTGAAAACAACTTATCTGTGACCCTCTGCCTTACCTTTTCCACATCGCCCAGGCCCTCAGTGTCCAGAAGGACCAGAGTGCAATCAGGCTTAGTAGGGTGAGGCACACACCACATCCAGATGCCCTTGGTTTCAGACTGCACCGTAGAGCCCAGAGGGAAACCTATAAAGGAAGGGGAGACCCAAGCCACAGTGACAACAGACAATCTAAGCAGCCAAGGGGCTACACAGTCAGATGTTTTGGAATAGAAATACTCCAGAATGTAAGATGGTGCTTTCTCTATTTTGTAAAAAATGCTTTACTTTGTGTGTCATCTATTTCAAATAGGAGATGAATGTTAACCGTGAGAATGTTACCCAGCATGGGCTCACAATGAACCAGATATAAGAAAGGTTACTGAAGACCATCAAAAGGACATTTTAAAAGAATGGTCTACTAAAGATGGACAGAAGTGGATAGAAGGGAGACATCTAAAGAAAAAAATTGAGATAATATATTTTCCAGTCAAAATGATAAAAACATGGCAGAGCATATGGGAGGGGATATTTGCCACAATGGGATGTGAACTCACAAAAATCTTTAAACATGATGACAGATATTCAAACATCATTATATGTTGATGGGAATATTCTACAGAGAAAGCAAAACATGTTATGAGAGAGGAGGCACAATTTCAAAACCCCAGTGCTTGCACAGGTAAAAGAAGGGGTCTATGCATTAGTAGGATAGATTTCCCTGAACAGGAGTAAAACATAGAATATGGTAACAGAATACATTAAGGTAATAATTTAGTGATAAGAATTAGAAGATTGGTTTATTGAAAGGAATCTACCTCTTTCTTCATGTGACTAGTGAAGAAAACTAAGAAACCCTGATATTGATATAGGTAGAGTCAAAGAATTGTCCTCTGCCTGAGACACCACTCACCGTGATTCTGTCCTGCAAGCCGATTCATCAAGTAGGATTTGCCTGTTCGATACAGTCCTACAATGGCCACGACCACCACTGGCTGAGAAATCTGGCCAAGAATCTCTAGAGCTTTCTGATTCACTGACAGATGCTCATTGTTGTTTTCCACCAGGCAAATGGGGGCCGTCATGTTGGGTCTAGAAGCCATGGCAACCTGCAAACCTAGAAGAAATCCCGGTAGAAATGATTGCAATGTTATTCTCTGAAGCAAAGTTGTGCAAAGCACCCATCATTTTAAGACAGTGTGCGTGTTTTACTTTATTTCTGGCACAGTAAGCATAGGCCAAGCCCTGCAATGAAAAATTCATCTTTGTTTGGTTCTATACTTGCAGTGTATCTCTGCAAGGGCCAGGTGTTCCCAATGCTATGAGGACCTCAGATTGAATGTTATTGCTGGTGCACTAGGCAGTTGCATCTTATAATGCAGTTGAGTGGCTCTACCTTATACCAGGGTCACCACTGAGAAGCAAAGCCATCACCTCATGTGAATATCCTGTCCCCATCCCTGAGTTTTAACCAGCTGCTAAGAGGATAGTGAGGTGGATGCTGAGGAAGGATCTGCCTGAGACTAGGACAACCTGGGGACATGGCCAAGAATTGTGCATCCACAGGTTTCATGCATCTCTCTGTCTCATGGTCCTAGTTGCTGAGGAGAGCTATAGAACTACTGATGAGTATGACTAGTATTCATCAAAACCTGAGGTTTTAGCTTGACAATTTGGTTTGACATATGACAGACCAATAAAATGTAGTATCTAATTATGATACTGAAGGGACTGAAAAAGTTTGGGGTTTCAGAAGAGAAACAGCTTTTGATTTTTCTCCTTTTTTATAAGTCTTCAAAATTCTTTTGGCCACAAAGCTTAACAGTCATCCCTTGTTCAGGCAAACTGAGTCATGTGATATTTATTTTGTTTTCCAAAATGAAGGGTGCATCAAAATTTAAAGATAGACTTATGTTATAAAACAAGAAAAAGCATATATTAATAAAACAGTCAATAAAGAATATCAAGAAGACCTCACGAATTCTGCATTCTCCATGTCCTGTTAAAAATATCCATGTGAAGCCGAACCAGTTTGGCTCAATGGATAGAGCATCAGCCTGCGGACTCAAGGGTCCTGGGTTTGATTCCGGTCAAGGGCATGTACCTTGGTTGCAAGCACATCCCCAGTGAGGGGCATGCAGGAGGCAGCCGATCGATCTCCCTCATCGATGTTTCTAACTCTCTATCCCTCTCCCTTCTTTTCTGTAAAAAATCAATAAAATATATATATATATATATATATATATATATACATATATATATATATATATATATCTCCATCTGAAAATATCAAGTGGCTGTGCATAATTCCTGGACATGTCTGACCTAGGACTTTGTTAGGAAGGAGAAAGTACTTCTTATATTCCAGAAAGTGCTATGCTGGTTTGTCCTAATTTTTAGAACATACCAAGAATGAAGCTGAGCTGAGAGTTGGCCTAAGCAAGTTTTGGCCTGAGCAGTGAATTATAGCGGTGTCCAGGGGACTGCCTGCTCCTTTCCCAACTTTTAAGGATGTGACTGGGAGCTGGAGGTGAAGCCACAATCATAATGCAGATCATCTATGTTTGGTCATCTTTCTTTCCTTTTTTTTTTTTTCACCCAATAAACAAAGACAAGCCAGAGCTACCTGAGCCAAGGTTGCTCTTGATAAAAAAAATAATAATAATTAAATTAAAAAACAAAATCTTAAAAAATGTGTAGGAGGTGAATCTCATGGGGAATCAGAATTAAAAGCCATAATGTATCCTAATGCACATTATAATGAGGAACATTGAGCTCATGCATGAAGAAGCTGCCTCCGGCCCCACTCCATTCCCTAATCTCTTACCTCTCCATGCGCCCTTCTTTTCCCCTCCACTGGCCACTGCCCTGGTTATGTGACATGCTGCAAGGTTGTCACCTCACAGCTACCACTGCTCCTAATGAGGGAGCTAAAGCCAGCAAGTGAACCTGCAGTCCAGGCTACCAGGCTACAGGTGTCCCTACCTCTCCATTCCTTAGAGTTCATTTTGAATCAGAAATTGAAAGACAAGCTCAGGATCAAGTTGTTTGCAAAAGAAAGTTGAATTCCCACTTCTGTCCCACAGCTCCTCAGGTCAGTGTATCCCAGGACAAACTCCCAGGTCCTTCTCACTCCTCCTTGCACCCTCTCCTCCTCCCACTTCTCTGTTGCTACTTTACAAAACTTAAAAAAAAAAAAAGCTGAGGAATTTTGTTTTCATTCTTACAGAGGACTCAGCAAAACAACTGAACCTAAAAACAATAATTGATGTAATTTTTTGGTAGGGACTAAACATTTGGAAACTGCAGAATAAAAACCCATCTTAGATCTTATAGTTATTTTTAATCGTTGATTAAAATATGTGAGAATGAAGTATTTCATCTAAATATCACTTTATAGAATCTTTGGAATACTAAATACAGTTAATGCAATAAAGAATGTTTTAATGTTTAAATTGTATGTTAAGGATCATCTTCTCTCTGTTTTATCAATGTCCCACAGACATCAGGGAAATGTGTGAGATGGGGAGGGGAAAGATGGAGGAAGTGACTGCAACCAGCGCTTCTTAGGAAAGGATAGTTTGGTTCCTCAGTCACAGAAAGGACTTCAGCCCCTTCAAGCAGGTGATGGAGGATGCACTCCTCCTGTTCCCAGGCAGGGCTCTTTGTGCAGCCTGGGAGGGTGCCCAAGAAGGAGCAGCCCATCCCAGAAACAAGCTGTGACCGCTGCCGCAGCCTTCCATCCAAACAGAGGGGCTGAGCTGCCTCCAATTTACAGTCCCTCCAGCCACCCCTCCTCTGCCCCCACCATCGTCCAGCTGCCTCCAAGGCCTTCACCTCCAGTGCCAGGTGTGCTGCGCTGGAGCACGCTTTGTTATTGTTGATGTTAGTTAATGCACATGTGCATGGAAATCCACGTCTCTGAGCCAATTTACCTGTCTCCTAAGCTGCAGACAGCAAATAAATTCTCGCCTCTCCCGTCCTCCGGAGTCTGGCTCCCCAGGGTCCTCACAGTTCTCTTTAGAAGCTGAAAACTGAGTGGGATTTTATAGGCAAGCAGTTATGAGTTGGGTTGAGAAGAACCGAAATCGAAAGGACACAACCTTTTGTGGAAAGTTAAAGTGTTGATTTTCATCTCCTCTCCCCCTCCCCCGAAGGCAAGCAGGGTGAATGCCATTTCTTCCACACCCAGCTCGGAAATCCCACGCTGACAGCTCCTCCTCAAGGGGCGTGTGTTCCCCGACCGCACAGTGAACACAGAGCTGCTGGGCTGAATGTGAGCCCGTAACCGCTGGCTGAGAGAAGGCTGCAGCCTGTCCCTCAGGGGTATTTTTGTTGCTTTAATTTTATGCTAAGACTGCCTTTTCATTTCTGGCTTTTAAAAAACTCATTATTAATTTATCCTTCCTCATTATCAATAACTGTGTGCATAAGACTCCTGTTTTTCCAATCAAGAGATAACCGCTAGTATTTTGTAGCATATTTTTCCAGTGTGTGTGTGTGTGTGTGTGTGTGTGTTGGCTCTGTGGGAGATTAAAAGGGTCCTGGGTTTATATTCTGAGTGTTTCTTAAAATAATATAAAAATACAAACTCAAAAAGTGACCATTCAAAATGAACAAAGAAATCTTAGCCATCAACAAGTTTTTGAAAGTTGACAAGTGTCACAAATATTGGCTATATTGTCTGCTTTTATCTTCTATTAAGCTGCATTCCCCATATTTGCATTTTCATATGAATAATAATTCAGAAACAAAATATATGTGATTGTAAGGGATTTCACTGCATTAGGCCATGAACAAAACTGTGTAATGAAAGTAATCTTTTGTTACACCTGTTGCCTTCTGGGTGGATATATGTAGGAGTTGTGTTACTGGAACAATATTGGGTTACTATCATTGCTTATTTTTCTCTGTCTGGAATATTCTAAGTTGGTTTCAAAGACATTAAAATGTTAATTCCCCTTTCACCAATATGTTTGGTTGAAATTGGCTCTTTGACAACATTGTAAAAACAAAGTAGCAGCAGCTAGATGTTAGATTTATTTTTATAGATTTATCATAAGTAGATTACTAAAATGAAAAACTTGTTCCAAGAAAGCTGTTGCATTGAATAAATATCATAACATAAAAATATGAAAATTGAAATTTCCTCCTTTAATATATGAAATATAATACTACCAATCATGCACTCATGTGAATGCTTGTCTTTTAATATGAATTTATATCCTAGACTTCTTATTTTCAGAGTTGTAATGTAATCACATTGTGCAATACTAGTTTATCAGTCTCTATAACTTGTCTATATTTGGGATTTTTAATTTGGGCAATGCTCTTGTTTTCCTGCAATATGTGGTGGTACATTTCGCAAGAAGTGATCAGTGTTAACAAATGATGTTAGAGAAAAGGTGCTTGTGTCTACAAAAGCAACAGTTATTTATATTAGGAAGGGTTGGGAAGGTTTATAGATGGCTTCACAGAAAAGTCTTATTTCTGTTGGGTCTTAAAGAATGACTCACTTTTGAAAAAAGAGGGATTGGAGGAAAGATATTTTAAGGCAAAGGAAGGAAATGAGCAAATATACAAAAGTAGGAGGTAAATCCTAGATATCAGCCAGGTCCAATGTAGCCAGTGTAGCTGGTTCACTAGGAATAAAGTAGAAAAATCAACTGGGACCGGGATCATGGACAATGTTGCACAGGAAGGTGGAGACCTTGATGGTTACTAGGCATGCTCAGAGCCATGTTGGAAATCCATTTTATGGATGAGCCTTGAGAGCATTATGCTAAGTGAAGGAAGCCATTACAAAGATCATATACTTTAGTGTTCCATTCATATGAAATGCCCAAAACAGCCAAATTCATAGACATGAAAGTAAAGTTGGTTCCTTAGGGTTGGGGCAGGGCTGTGGGGGAAGCAGGGAGGTAAAAGCTAAAGTGTACTAGGTTTCACTTTCAAGTTGATAAAAATTATCTAAACTTAAGTGGTGATGGTTGTACATATCTTAACACATGAAAAAAACACGTTTTAAATGGGTGAATTTTATGGTATATGAATTGCATCTCAATTTTTAAAAAATCATTTAAGAGGCTGATGCTACAGCTTATTACAGTTCCACCACTCTAGGCTCAACCTGGTCTTTCAGAGATTTCAGGTTCCTTCCATTCTGTTGTTCTCTATCCACTAAGGCATTATACACATCTGTAAAGTTTAATGATGAGTTACCCACATCTGTTATCTAGACAGTAAATGGAAAAGAATAACTGGTGACAAATAAGCTCAAAGTTTCCTGAGCCAGACCCACAAGTAACATACTTGTAATTCTGCTCACACTCCATGTGCACATTGTGCCACCTAGATGCAGGAGCAGCTAAAAAGATTTAATCTCTACGTTGGTAGCCATGAGATCATCTTTAAAAATAGAATCATACAAATATTTAGAGTTGAAAATTTCTGTCATATCTCTAAAACTATATGCACCAATATAGAGACAGCTTTAAAGGACCTTTGTTCCAACTCGGCAATATTTAAAGTTGAACATAAGCTGGGTTAGTATTGTGACCCTGTATTTACTGAGATACAGAGATTGATGCAAGATGAGTGTTAGGCAACAAATCAACTCAAAGAAAGAGAGTTCTTTCTTATCAACTGGATCCAAGAGCCTGCATTCCTCTTCTCTCTCTTTTTTCTTTATTGTTTTTTTATTTTTTTATTTCAGAAGGCTGCAATATTAAAATGTGAATCTAGACATAAAGACTATAAGGATAGATAATTATTTTAGCCTTCAAGTTAATATTTTATTATTGTTATTTTTATCATGTTTTAATGTTTATTAACTTATTTTTAATTTTATTATTATTATTATTTTGAAGAAAAATACATTTGCGTCTTCTCCCAGCTTCCATGGTGGGAAATTATTGCAAGAGAAAGTATCTCTAAAAAATATATTCTATAACTCTAAGTCATAAAAATGTAATATTGGTAAAGGAAGATTAATTAAAATGTGTTCTTAAATTGATGGAAGTTAATTAGGTTTGATTTAATTGGAATAAAATTTTTGCATGTTCTGTTATTTTAACTCCAGAAAAAAATTACCAACCTTCTTGTTGTTGAAAATGTATTTTTTTGGCACCAAGTCCATACTCAGCTTTATGGACTAGTGCAGTGGTCGGCAAACCATGGCTCGCGAGCCACATGCAGCTCTTTGGCCCCTTGAGTGTGGCTCTTCCACAAAATACTACTACATGCGGGTGCACACATACAGTGCGATTGAAACTTCGTGGCCCATGCGCAGAAGTCGTTTTTTGGCCTGGGCGAGTCTATTTTGAAGAAGTGGCCTTAGAAGAAGTGGGGGGTGTCGGTTGGGCGGGCGGGAGATGGGAGATGCGGAGCAGGCGGGCCACGGGATACACAGCAGCAGCTCCGGGGAGGCGCGCGGGATTCATGCATGAGTTGAGTGAGCCAGTCAGTCAGCAGTCTCATTGTGCAGTGGTTAGTTAATTTTAGGGAATGTTGTGGAGGTGAGTGAAAGAAGATGTAGTGTCGAGGATTGAGAAAGGTATGTTGAGATGGTTTGGACATACAGAGAGGATGAATGAAAGGAGATAGACCAAACAAGTATAAAAGACGAGCGTGGATGGGAGAGTTGGAGGGGGTCGACCTCAGCAAATGTACCTCAATCAAATTAAGGACGTTTTTAGCAAGGGTCATCTTAGGAGTACCCTAATTAAGTTAATAACAATGTACCTACCCATATAGTTTAAGTTTAAAAAATTTGGTTCTCAAAAGAAATTTCGATCGTTGTACTGTTGATATTTGGCTCTGTTGACTAATGAGTTTGCCGACCACTGGCCTAGTGGAAAATCTTAGACAAGGAGAGTCTCATTTGAACATGTACACAGAGCTTGGCAGAAGACCATAAAGCTGCTGATATACTATCCCCACCCCTCCCAACCCGAGAAACATAAACTCTCTGTTCAAAATTCTGTTGAGTGCAATTCTTCAATTGAGAAAAATCAAGTACAAAAAAATAAGGGCCCCTCAAAGACAAGATTCATGGGCTTATGGAATTCTGGAATTGAAGAGAGTAACCCGCTGTGACAAAAAAGTAAAAACAAAACAAAATTAAAAGTACCTTCAATATTGCTATGCATTGAAATATCCAGACTAAAAGAATAGAGTCTCAGAATTATACACAGTGTATGCAATGGAACTTGCTTGGTGGATTGGCTGGGTAAAATATGTTATGTTGGACTAAGATTACATCACTAGAGGAAAAGTATGTGCCTCTTTGTTCCTCCTGCACCTGGAACACAGAGCTTAATGGGAAAACTGATATTACAGAGATTTCTAATTTTTAGGATGAATATTTGGGGGAAGACAGAGCTTCTGGTACAATCTCCTGTACACTGGAATGCTAGGATTGCACATGGATTTATAAAATCCAGTTTCTCTCATGTCACATTCTGAGAGACTCTGGCAGTACCATTGTGCCCCAGCTCCACTCACATTCAGCCCATGGTGCCTGCCTTCACTTGTCTGCTTTCACATGAAGTGAGACAGCCTTGTGCCACATCACTGATGCAATCACCAGCAGTCCCTAGTCATTCTTCCTTCAGGGAACCTTAAAAGTACTCTTCTTATTCCCCTGTAATGACCTGTAAATGTGCCTGATGTGAAAAAGCACCTCATCCTGGTCCCACAGACATAATTTGGGGAAAAAAACTTCCCAAGAGTCACCTGGTGAGGCCCCCTCCATGCCTACTGCATCCAATTGGGTGTGAAGACATATGTAAGTGCACTATTGTTGGGCCACACCTCAAGAAGTACCCCCTTTACACATTTGCAATACTTGCCTGGATTTGTCCACTTAAGTTACGTGTAGATAATTTAAGAGAAATTTTAACTTGAGTTGCAGGTCTCATCGTTCCATAATGCTCATTCTAAAGCATCTTCAGGTGCCAGTAATATAGAGAAAAATGTTCATTAACATGGGCGAAGGGGTATATAGCATGGCCCTTGTCTTCTGACCCTGGTGGGCTGAATGCCCATGCAGCCTGTCCTTGTCCTTCCTCTCCAAATAATGATTTCTTTTTTGGTCCTCC